AAATATACTTAAACATTCTTTTAATGTATTTTCACTTTTGGGTAGAACAACAATAGTGATGACTGTTTATGGGGTACATGTGTTTTTCTTTTTTTTTCCATTTAGACTTGCATACAGTATATTGTTTTATTTTGTGTTTTTTCAATATTCAAATATTATGGGAGTTTGTAAATAGCGAAAGCCGAGTTACAGTAAAATAAACAAAAAAGTTTACTTTGCGATAACCCAGCTATCAGGCTTTCATGGTAACTCAGTTTTGGCCATTTACACACGTACACTCCCATGATGATTTATTTTATTGAAAAAAAAAACATTGTAGCCAGTAAATGGGACTTTGTGCCCACAATTAAGACAAAGGTCTCATAAATTTGCCGTTGTTATGCAAAGTTTTTCACAAAGGGAATGTAAGTATGACACAAAAATATATTGTGAGCACCTTTTGAGGAATGTGTTTAAAATAAGTATTTTAAAAAATAATAAAAATGGTCACTTCACTTAAATATGTTTTAGCACCCTAATACATGTACATCTACAAATTTGGTTGTGATTGGTTGCCAAGTGATGAAGTAATCCCAACATTGTAGTCACATCTATTTTTATACTACAGTTACATTGGTACTAATACATGTATTGTATACACCCCCTTACAAAGGTGTTCAAATTCTTTCAGTTTGAAGCCCCTAAAATATGGCTTCTTAGTACACATCAGGGTAAAGGATACAAAAAATAATGATGTAAACATGTTTTTTAGCATCACGTCAATCAACAGTTTAATGTTTACTACTGTAAAATCTGTATTAGAAACCGCGGCTTCTATTAAAATGGTACAATGCAACAGAGGGGATGCGGCTTCTATTAGAGCATCAACACATATGAGAAATGATGAATTTTTGGTTCTTAATTATTCAAAAACAATGGGTGCGTCTTCTATTAGGAATGCGGCTTCTAATACAGATTTTACGGTAGTATTTGATGTTTATTTCTTTGAAAAGCTGAAAAATAAAAATATTGACTACAACAACCGAGGCACTATACAAAGATTCACACCATTCAACAGTATGCTTAAATGTACATTCAGTCTAATTGTAGAATTCATATACATTGTAGAATATCAGGTTAAAATATTTTATTTATCAAAAAAACAATTTACAAAACAAAATATTTTAATCAAAATCATTAATATAGATGCACATGAATACAGAATGTAAAATTTCATAAATAATGTACAAATGTAATTTTTTTATAGACTTGTAGCTAATAAGTTTGATACCTGTATGATACTGTCTTACTGATTGTTTTTCTCACCAGAAAAAATACATACATTATGTTCTTAAATAACTACTCATAAGATGTCAAAAGTCACCACCATAAATTGTTACGATCTGATAATATTAACAAGAAAGAAATTTCGCAAAAGCTGCTGTGACTTTTTTTTTCTAAAGAATTCCAGTACATTTTTTCTTGTACATTTTTATTTTCATTGAAAACAAAACTTCCTAGTTTTCCTTGTGACTATGAAAATATTGTTGACCACTTTTTAGAGACTACATTTATATTAAACGGAGTAACATATAAAATGTAAGTCTTCTATTTCTCGTATCGATTTGTTCTGACAGAAAAATTTTTTTTTCCCTACTGTACACATGTAATTTTGCATTAACCTTCTGGTTGGAAATGACTCATTTATATGCTTTCATTTTACCACTATATTTATCGTTGAAAAAAGTTTGCCTTTCTGTTAGAAACTATCTCTGCCATTGACATGTATAATGACTTTATTATCCCAGCCACAAATCCACACTTGGTACAAAAACAGTGGCCACACTTCATGGTCAATATACATCCTATGTAACTGATATGTTTACCATGAAGAAATGCATTGATTAATTGTATAAGAGGCTGAACACGATTACTGGAAACAAAAAATTCTACAGGCAACATAAGCAGAAAATAAGCCTATATGTAACAACATGTTATTTGATAGAGAAACTCAGAATCAATTTATGCATGTAGCAACATCATGTTGTTGAAAAAAATAGCACGAAAATAAAAAAAATGTACACAATATTTCTACTCGGAGTTCAAAAGGTCAAACCAAAGTGTATGTATAGTTACCGGTATAGCCACAGCAGTATAAGTGTGCTTATTTCACACAAATCAAATCACTATAAATATACCCGGAGTATGACCCACCAGCTTATCGTATATTGGCAGACTCCTCTGATAAGATAAATCCTGCATTATACCCAACCACAGACTGACTAACAGTGTTCTGTTGTAGATCGAAGTGTAGCATGGGGGCTTTCAAACACTGAGGAAAGCATCAGTTGAATCATGGAGGTAGAAAAGAGAAGGAGTGAGGACGCTATTGTTTCTGCTGGTTTCATGATGCTTTGGATTTGTTTACTCAGTACACATTGTAATTAGTTTGCAAACATGCTGTACAATGTCACAGTCAATCGGCTTACGTGTTTCGGCTGTATTCGGAAGCTTCACGAAGATTCTCAACGCACTGCGCATGCCCAAACAGATAGCAATAATACAAAATGCAGCGAAAGACGTACGCTGAGCGTACTAAACGCCCGAAATCTATTACATCAAAAAGCGCGATTTTCGACATCTGCACAGTTCTGCACACCAATGAAAAATTACTCGTCAAAACATCTTGTTATAATCTTATCATGTATCTTTAAATTTCACTACGAAAATTTGCGGAATTTTTTCAATCAATGTCCAAAGTTGGACGACTATTGCGATGAAAAATATCAGAAAAGAAGTAATCACACATCTTGGTAGCGTCCGTATGCAGAATTTCCGGTATCTACAAGTGTGAAATGACCTTTGTGATCCGATAAAGGTCGTTGCGCATGCACAATTCTTTTATTTATGGTTTGCGCATTCAATTTTATAGATGATGTTTAAACGGAATTTATTTTTTTCAGTTCTTCTCTCATTTTCTTGTGTAAATAAGCGGCTATCATCATGTAGATAAAACGACTTCTAAACAAAAACAACAAGTGGCTTAAACAGACCGAAGACAAAAGATGTTTATAAGATTAACATGGGCTTAAATAGCGTTCTCACTCCTTCTCTTTTCTACCTCCATGGTTGAATAGGACATGGAGGTAAAAAGAGATGAATAGGACAAATAATGTACTTTACTCTGTGCAATATTTGTATTCAAATATTATATGAACACAGATATTTGTGTACATTTCTCAGGAACTTACATTATGATCTAAAACGAATGTGACCTTGGTGAAAATACAATGTATATGATCACTAACATTTTGTTATTGTTTGTTGTATGACACACCGGATGTCCCATGGTTGAGAAAAGGGATAGTAACAATCGCAAAACATTTCAAAACAATTTGTATGAAAGTGTTGTATGTACATCATGGAGTCGATAAAAATGAAAAATATTATAATAACAAAGTGAAAAATAGTAACAAAGGTGAAAATAAACAAAATCCTTGCTAATTAATTAATTTAATTTCAAATTAATTATGGTTTAAACTGACTTTAAGGATATTCATTTGAATGAAACAAAAGACAAAATCAAGAATGTACACAAGGTTATCTTATCTCTAACCTTAATCAATCAGATCTATGATTTGACAGAACTCAGAAAATATTTGTTGTTTATTTCATTTCGTGATTTATATACCGAAGTACATCAATTAAAGCCAGGCACAGTTATTTGGCTGATACATGTATTACTGAGTTAGCTTTAAGTTTATACCTGTACATATAATATTCTCACCGGAACATGAGCTATTTTTAGGAAAATCAGACGTTTTGTTTAAATGTGGAAATGTTTGGAAAAGCCCAAGGTACGAGACATATTTGTTCAGCAAGTAATTTGAGCTGCAGCTGTGGTTACACGATACCGACAGCACACCAGGACACAACAGCGTACGTATAATCTTACAGAGTCTGGCAGTACAAATAGTACTATGTCAGAAGGAAGTTTCATTTTAGACCCAAATTTGTTTCACCAGTTCCGGCCAATGAATGATACCACCACTGGTCACAGTTTCATGCCATGTCAGTGCAGGAAAAAAAGGACATACAAAGTGACATCATTCCTAAATAAAAGCGACGTTATTTGTTTTAAACGTTGAGGCCCGACACATAGCATAAGATTGTGGGTATTATAAAGAAAATGAGTCATGCGTCCATCAAAAGCAACTGTGATTCGACCCTATAATCGAGCCGGTTTGTTGACAAACATCGCAGCTTTAGAACGGGAAAACATACTCACCAAAAACTAGTATAAGTAGGCAGGTTCGTAGCACAGATAATCCACTGGATCTCGGGAACATGTTTGAATAGTCCAAAGCCGTAGGAAAATATCTTTAATTGCTTGGCAAAACGAACGGCTCGAGCCCGTAGAATATCCACTGGCTGACGTTCCCTTCCTGGTCGTAAATTACAACAATCTAGGCAATCAAATATAACAAATATGCGCTATATACAGGACCCAAGAGTGACGTCATAATTTTTCGATTGAAATATAATCAACATCGAGAAAAACGGTTGAATTAGAACTCGATTTAAGGGAAAAAGAAAGAATGAGGTCAGTCAGGAAGTAAGTCCCAGGAGTGGCTTGTAAAGACTCCCTAAGCACTCAGAAAATATATCAATAGATTTTTCGACTCGGAATTTTAGCGACTATAAGGTGTGAAATTCAAATACTGGTAGCTATATACAATTAAAGACATATGTTGAAATATCGGAATTCCCAATTTTTAATAATTAACACGTTTTGAAAACGAATTCCATTCCATTTTTGAAGATGACCATATTGCAAATATTCACACACTTTGACAACCTAGTTTCGGGTCAAAGGACACGAAACAGCTGATGACTGACAGGCAGACCGAGACAGTCTGATATACAACTTCCTTGACACCGACTCGTGATCGAAACTCTCTCAATTTCGTGGGCGTTCGTCAAACACATACAGCATATTATGAAGGTACGAAAAAACAGTTCGTCGGCAGTTTGGCTACACTCAAATCTGATAAACAACACGGCGTTGTATAATTATCGGTGTTTTCTTCACTGCCGGAAATGATAGATTTTGTTAACCACATGCACTTGGGATCAATAGACATCAATGTGAATAAATGGAAAAACATCTTTTTTTTTTACACCCACACCATCTATTTACATGGTGCATGTGTAAAAATTTTGTTTTCATTTATTCACACTTAAAGTTTAAATTTGTTTACAGTTATAATTTTTTTGACTAATTTGATATGATAATTCTTTGTTACCGCCGTCTTGAAAAATTATACATTTTATTTTAGTACATGTGCAACCAACTAGCTCTACAAAAGACAATATTGTTACATTTAAACTGATACAAATGTTGCTGATGCCACTGTCATACTGTAGCGCAAACAATTACCGTTCTAATGTTTGTGTAAAATAAAATGGCGCGTAAGAAAATGTATAGTAAATGCATTTATTAACAAAAACACATTCTACTGTATATTAATGTAAAGGGGTCAACTTACACAACAACCTAATAAATCACTTTAAAGGGCGATGGTCATCATACAACATGGGTTTGAATACCTAAACAAACAATGTGTTTTACATGCGTTGTCTACGTCGCATATCGAACATAGTGCGGCACAACAACTGTCACTCTTTAACTTTCAATGAGACAGGGACGATCTTGTTCAGGGACGGTGGTTGTAGCAATGAAATTTTCATGCGAAAATCAATAGTCTGTGATCACTCTGAAAATATTAAATTGTGCTAACAACTGGCAGCAACTTTCAAATACATGAAAAAGTTATACTACCTAAGTTATCTACGTAGCGACTGAAAAATAAAAAATGTAAAAACAAGCTACAAAAAATGTATTCACTATCGTCATGCTCCAGGAGATGGTGGGCATAATGGCGGTGAAGATGTCGGCAAGGATGGCTGGCTTGCTGGACAGGTTAATGTATAAAACTCCTAACAGTCAGACCAATCAGAGAGCAGCTTGTTTATTGACAGGTTTTGTAGATGTATCAAATTCTGACTTGTAAATATACCTGGTACTTTGACTCAACTAAGTATTTGCAGTGTATACCCAAAAAACACATGCACGTCACACACCTTTCCACAAACATTTTCAACACACAAATATTTCATGAAATATATATTAATTAGACCAAGAAAAATTCAATACACGTAGTAGCTAGGTTTTGTGATAGCTAAATATGATAAATAGAGCACCTCCCTGTTTTATAACTCCTGCATTGCCGCCAAACAAATCACCATGAAAATTTCCAACTGCAATGTACACTTTATATACACGCTACATGCCAAATAATAGAATTAGCGGTTTTGAGCATTTAATGCTGTTTTTAGCTCTTCTGTCATTGAAGATGACCGAGCGGAGCTTATTGGTTGACTGGACCTGTTCGTCTTGCGTAGTCAGTCATCTGACGACTTTTTTTCATGCGACTTCTCCCAAACCCTAAGCTAGATCACCTTGCTATTTACAGCACAGCTACCTGGGGTGGTCCTCTCTCAGATTTGTTCATTTCATGCCATCACATCCAAATCTCTATTTTTAGGGAATATTTATGGTCAAAAATAATTTTTTCAAAACAGATTCATAATGTACACACATCGATGGATTCTCTTTAAAATTTGTATTTTTGTGAAAGTTGATTTTTTGTGTGATTATTTTATTTTTTATTTTTTAGTGTATTGTTGGAGACTGGACTACCATGGGCCAATTTTTTTCAAATATTTTGAATTTCAGAAGAAGGAAGGTAGTCTTTTTCAGTACACATTGTGTTGTGTTCCAAACTGCCTGCCCATTACTGATCACAGCCTATCAGATTATAGATTGATTACAATTATTCTCTTTTTTTTATTTTGAGTTTTAAAAATCTTGTCCTGACGGCCATATCATACACCACAATCTTCATTTCTTCAAACTGGTAATAATACAATGACCAGTTTCTTTTATGGTGTTAAACTTTATCACCATCACTCCATCCTACGTTTCCAAGTCACAGTTAACAATTACAGTGGAGCTGTTTCGACCGCAAGGTCGCTTGTTAGTCCCCGGACGTAGTCTGAAAACGGGGACTTATGTTTTGACCTCCGTGTGTGCGTGTGTGTGTGTGCATGCGTGCGTGCGTGTGTCTGTGTGTGCGTCCGGACCTGTATCTTAGAAATGCCTGGACCAATCACAATCAAACTTCACACATACATCATAGGTGATATTATACATATGCGCGTTAATTTGTTTCACGATCTGATTCAAGATAGCCGAATGGCGGCCATTTTTGTGCTAAAAATCATCATAATCAAGCATTTCTCGGCTGTTTACAGATGGATTTTGTTCAAACTTGGTATATACATTAGACATTATGGGACCTTGATGCAAATAATTTTGTTTTTCAGATAAGATTCAAAATGGCCGACTGGCGGCCATTTTGTATTAATGAGTGTGGTTCTCGTGCCATATCTCTCACTTGCTTTCACTGATTATGTTCAAATTTTAAATATTCATTATACATCATGTCATAAATAGACAGATATATTGGTTTGACGATCCTATTCAAAATGGCCAAATGGTGGCCTTTTTTGTGCTAAACAATCATCAAATATCAAGCATTTCTGGCATTTATGGATGGATTTCGTTCAAATTTGGTACATATATTAGACATTACAGGTTCCTGATGCACATCATTTATTTTTCAGATTGGATTCAAAATGACTATCTGGTGGCTATTTTGTTTTAATGATTGGGCTTCTAGAGCCATATCTCTTAAATGCTTTGACTTATTATATTTAAATTTTATATATTCGTTATACATCATGTTATATATATACATGTATTCAAAATGGCTGATTTTGAATGCTGTTCCAGAGCAAGTACTTGTTTGACGATCAGATACAAATGTCAATCATATTAATGTTAAAAAAATCATATTCCTGACATTGTTATATTCCAGCTATATTACTATAAAGAAAACTATATATCTTAAATTTGATAACTAACGGGGAACTGTGCCATGCATGGCTTGTTTATGATAAAATTAAATATAGAGCAAGAGTCATGTGAAATGTTGTATTTTTTATTTGCAATATTGGTGCAGCCATTCAGAATGTTCTTCCCAGTGCACTAAAGAATGGTCTTGTGAATCGCTATGTAAATATGTAGGAAGTGTCATCACTGATTGGCTGTCTCCATGACTTCAATATATTACAATAAGAACTCTTATCCACCGACTGACCCATACATAAGGACCGCCCACAGCCCCTATTCGGTGATGCTATAACGAAAACAATCATCTTGCTCTAAGACCTTGGAAATCAGACAAGTAGAGCACTTCTGGATTTTCTTAAATCCAGCATGGTCACTGAACAACTGACCAGTTGTCGAAAAAATTACTCATTACATACTTGATACATACAAAATTTCAGACTAAAAGGACTAGTGGTTCTGAAAAGGCATTTAATGCAATTTTTTAGAATACCGATATACTGGTAATAAAGAAAAAAAGTCTTGTGATGTGATATACTTTTAATTTGTGATATTTGTAGTCCATACATAACGGATATTACGAAAAAAAAATTCATATCAACACTTTTGGTTTTGTTTTAAATCAATATGGCCACTGAACTACAGGACCATTTTGGAAGTCGCCTGTACCAGTTAACGTTAGTCTCTACCAGCATGAAAAGTTTGAGAAGATCACGTTCAGCAGATCTCTCAGACAAGCTCACGAAAACAAGGCAGAATAAGAAGTGGATTTAAACCATAATAATATGCCTCCAAGCATTACGCCTTAGACCCCTATTATTAACAGTTTGTTCAACACTCCACTTCAGTGAAAGGCAGAATGCTGTATTATAGTTTATAAACATTTTTTATACAAATTTGTACATAGCGATCATCAGCTTTCATTCAAATTCAAGTATTGTGATTGGTTAAAGAGCTCAACATTGTCTATGCCGATAATACACACACATACCTTTATGCAACACAGTAACTGCAATCGTTCATTAATTCAAAATAAAGTGCTTGCTGATTAAATGATGTTGAATTAGAACTTATGAAAATGTCACAGTGATAGGAAGGAGGCTGAAATTGTTATAAACATTTTATAAATATACATTTTTATAATTAAATGTTATAATTCAAACTGACAAAACCAGAAATGGTATTGTGAAATCATCAAATGTGTTGAAAATTCAAAGACGTTAAAGATTAAGACGTTACTTTGGTAAGCATGCGTCTATACAAATTTATACATAATCTAAAAGCTTTTGGGGGAGTGTAAGTTAATTTTATTGTGTGTTTGTCAAAATGGCAAAAAGAAATGGTGCAATACTTTGACTGGAAACAGACAAGAATGAACCTTAAACATTGCACGTGAACGCATGTAAAAATACCATTGAGTGGAACCGAAACGGGTTTTTATTTTTTAAATTATTGCACTACGTATATTTATGGGTGGGCGGAGTGGGAACATTTATGCATGAATTGCATTTCCTGTGC